TTTATCCAGCCTATCTTATCTAGATAGACTTGCAGAGATAATATGCACAAAAAAAAGCCAGAGCAAAACAAAGCAACAAAAGAAAACAAAACAACAACAAAAAAACAATGACAAAAGAAATGAAAAGCCTGTAAATAGTTCAAGGTCTGTTTGTTGACCTTTAGGAGTGTTTTCAGTTCGAGTCTAATAGGGTGTCCAGGTAGTATGGCAGGGGCCAGATCAAATCCAGGGATACATATTGTAGCCAACTAAAAATGAGGGGGTTTAAAAGAAAAAGAAGCAAAAAAGAAATGCGTAATGAGGGAGCTGGGCACTAAACCACCCAAGGGGAGGGTATTGTTTTTATCTCCAAATGGAAAGAGGGACCAGACTTCAACCCAGTGCTCCCAGATGTGAATGCACATACCTGTGGGGGATAGGCACAACTAATCGCAGGTTTGATAGGCGCAAATGTATGGTTAAAATGTATAAAGATTATAGTAAAGTCATGGAGAATAGGGAGATGGGAGAGAGAGAGTAACAAAGACATTTCATGGTAGCATGCTCACTTCCTGGACGGCCATGATCTCAACAGCCAGGTCTGTGCACAGTGAGGGCAAGAGAGAGATATTTATCACTAACCAAGGCTTATATATCATTTGGGGGACGTACATGTCCCCTAATTACTGGTAAAGATATACGTAACAGAAAGGGGTTGTACTATAGGCATACATATCATAAGAAAAGGATGTATAATAGGCATTAAGTGTAACAGGAAGGGGATGAGCTAGGGGGGTACACATAATAGGAAGGGGAGGGACTAGGTATACATGTGACAAGGGCAGGCCCTAGACTCTATATGGCAGCCTAACCTTGGTTACCCTTGAGTGGGCTTGACCTCCCTGGGCTCTCCTTCAGGGAAACAATCTACTACTATCCTTATCAGAAGGGAGTGGGCCCTATTTTGTGTGGGACAGACTAGTATGATTGCTCTAGATAACAGATAACCCTTAGAGTTTGTAGAGACCTACTTTTGTTGACTTCCAAGTGTATAGTCATTTACCATGTGTAGCAAGCAGCTAGATTTTGCATATATTTGGGGGATGACTTGGAAGAAATCTTTCTGTATCCCACACATACTGGAATGAAGCAGGGAACCTGAGGGGGCTGGTCCCAATCCCAACTATGTGGACAGCCACCACTCCCCCCAGAAGAATTTACTTCAGAGGACAGCACTGAAGCTACAGCTTAGGGAGAGGGGCATGTCTGATCAGAGCACACAGGAGCAAATGAGGGGGAGGGAGAGAGAGTGGAACACATCCTGGCCCACCAAGCCTTGAGGATGATATCCCCGCTCAGAGCAGCCAATGCACAGAGAGGACCATATGGCCAGCCCCACTATGAGACACGACATCTCATAGCCCTACTGGGGAAAACACTGGAGACACAGTGTGGGAATTGTAGCCATTCTGACCCTATCATACTGAGGCAAAACACTAAGGACGTGCAATAGAACAGCAAGTGGCACAGACAAGGAAGTCCTGAGGGAGGACCTCTCTGAGTTCTATGTGACATCACAATCTATGCTATTTACCCATCCAAGCTGTACAAGCGGTCAAAGGCTAGGATGATGGAGTGGGAGTCTTAAGACGATTTTCACCCTCTTTCCAATGATGACAAAAATCCATCCTGTTACTAAAGTCTCCCTGAAGGTGGCTCTCTTTTTCTTCTTCAATTTACTCTTTGTACTTTGTAGAACAGACTGAGACGGTGGACTTTAGGGAGAAAGATGCTGAGTTTATATTTAAGTTGATGAATGTTCAATATATATGACATAAGCAGTTTTACTTTGGCTCTATCAAATTTATTGAAAATGGATACATTTAGAGATTTCGCATAGTTTTATAAACATGGAACACTTCACAAATGTGTTTCCTCGTGCAGGGGCCATGCTAATCTCTGTATTGTTGCAATTTTGGTATACATGCTGCCAAAACATGCATGAGATTTCACATTTGACCTTTTAAAAAATTGTTTTGAATGTAGAAGAAAGTCAAAGGTATATAGTACAAAGCAATCAGTTTTCAGGTTGGGGCTCCTGTAACCTTAGGTAGTCCAACCAAATACTTCACTTTTGGGTATGTGTGAGATAGGGAGAGGGTAGATTAGGAGGCAAGACCCCTGAGGTGGTGGGCTTTCAATTCATCAATCCAGTTAACAATCATTGTATTAAATATTTGCACAGTACTATGGAGAAAATATTTTCCACCTAAATTTGAAAACACTGGCTTTTAAAGACAACACTTTGATGGACTCTTTTGTTCCCGAGAGGCCCATTGAGGGAGCCATGAATTCTGAATAGAAATATGGAATGTCTTCCATTTTGTTTAATATGTATTTTATAAAGCGTGCTTAGGATAGGAAAGCAGATGCTACAATTAAAATAATAGAATTTATGTAAAGAAGAATTCAGTGACTGCAATATTTCTAAAGACTTAATTATAAATAGAAAAATGTAACAATTCTCTATAAATATGCTTCTCATTAAAGATAATTCAAGTTACAGAAATTTCCCTTAACAACAAAATAAACAAAGAACCAAAAAATTTAAATTCCATACACTTCATTTGATAAATATAATTATTTCAATGTTTCTAGAAATCACAATGTTTAATTGAATTAGTGTGATAATTTAAGATCTAAAAAATTTGTATACATACAAAATTATATCATGCATGTCAGATGACTCTTCATTCAATTATTTAGAGCTTGTCATTGATTTGTCAACATAAATTTATTAAAAAGTGATAGAAAAGAAAAAGTTAAGGCCCAAGAAATACTTAATACCCAAGAAAATACTTAAAGTATTTTAGAACAAAAGGGTTGCAATGATCACGTCAGGTATTCCAGACGGATATGATTGACTAACACTAATATTTAAGATGAGAAACAAACAGGACAGTGTGACATCAAGAAAAACAGAGAAATTTGTTTATTTACTTAAAAAATTTTTTTTTTAGGAAGAGAGCGTCAAATTTTTTGAATACTCCAGCTGGGAAGATGACAGGCTTAATTTTGGCAATTACGAGAAAAACAGTTGAGGTTTGTAATTTCATTACCAAGAAGGATTTACACACGTTTCAGGGTGTAATACATTAAAAAGCAAATAGGATTGGGTGGGCTTAGCAAAACGAATTACCTTCTAAAACCTGTGGTTCTTCTTTTGAAATGTTGAAAAAAAGATGTGAGAAATTTGGGCATGATAGCTAGGAGGAATAGGATCTAGAGAAGGTTTTAAGACAGGGCAGAGCTGGCATCTGTGGATCACGATAGGCAAGTCAGGTGGAAGGGCATAAGCTGGAAGTCAGGTGAAGAACATGACTTACTTTCTGAAAAGAAAGCAACAGCTTTTAAGGTGAAAAAACAAAACAAACCTGAATATCATCTGGAGGTGACCAGACGTCCCGCTTTGGGCAGGACACTCCCGATTTTTAACAATGTTTCCCGCGTCCCGCAGCGTTTTAAAAAGTCCCGATTTTTGGAAAGAATGCACAACAAGCTAGGGTATACGGTTTTCGGCTGCCATGTGGCTATTTCGCCAGGATATGAGTTTTATCAATGGTGTCCCACTTTACCAATGATAACATCTGGTCACCTATAATTGGAAGGTCTTTTGTACACTAACTTACAAACCAATCGTAGAACTCCCTCTCCCAGTCCATGTTTCCTGCGAACAGTCTGAAGGAAATGTTTCTAGCCTATTTTTCATTTACACAATCCTATCCACCTCTGCCTGCCTGGTGGCAGCTGGTGTTTTCAAGGTCAGTAGTTTGAATTCACCAGTCGCCTGGCAGGGGACAAACGAAGCAGTCTGCACCCATAAACACTCAGTCCCAATCCCCCAAGGAACCATACTCCTGGCAAAAACACCACCCAATGAATCGGCATGTCATTGAGAACTCCCTGCCAATAGCTAGAAACGGCTCTAGCTGGGGGACACTGTGAACTATGCAAAAAATCCATCAGGCCGTTTCAAGGTAAACAGAGAGGGAGAATGAGACGGTCAATTCAATGGAGTTTTATTGACAACTCATAGCTGATAGCACTTTATCTCTAAACCTTGCCCAGCCTTCTTTGCATGCGAGGTTTACTGAAGCCTGTAGAAGGGGCTAAGTTTAAAATCCATACCACCGTAGCTGATTCCACTAGGGACTGAGCTGCTGCTTCTTCAGAAGTGCTAATTAAGCAGACTGCCAGGTTTTAGGACAGCCTTAGAACGCGGTGTTCGTATCCCTCCTTAATCGTGTCACGCTCCTGCAGGGGCCACTACCCACCCGGGGAAACCCTGCCCTCCGCCACACGCATGCTTCGCCCAAACAGCCGCCAGGGTCTAACCTGGCGACCACGCCCACAGCCGAGAGCGCATGTCCGGAAGTTGCGCTCCCCATAAGGGCCCGCCCCGGCCCGTGAGGCGTTTCCGCCATTTTTGAAAATCGGGACCGTTCCGGGCCCGGTGTAATTGCCGCCGGAATGGCAGCCTTTGCCGTGGAGCCCCAGGCGCCCACAGTAGGTGAGTGAAACTTCCCTGGCTCGCGCCGCGGACTTCGGGCCTGGCTCCTTGCTGGCCTCGGGGCCGGAGGGAGAGCCTCTCGGTCCCCAGCTTCCCCGTCCGCGCCCTACCTGCAGCCGCCGGCGGGGAGCACCCCGGGAAACAGCTGTCGGGGTGACGCTGCGGGCTCGCTCCCGCGCGCCGGCAGCCCGGCCGGCCTTGGGGCGCGTGGCGCCCCGCACCGGCGCCGCGCCTCGGGCTTCCGGGGAGCGGCGGTGAAAGGTGCTGACCCCGCACACGTGGGTGGGCGGCGCCCGGGATGCGAGGTGACAGGCGGCCGCTTCTGTGTGGGTCCCCTGTGGACTTTCCAGTGCCTGGTGTGATTTCCCTCCTTCACCTGTTGAAAGGGAGGGTTCCTCTGGGCTTGCTGCTCCTCATGAAACCTTGAACCGCGAGACGTTTGGCCAACCAGGTGATGGTGACGGCTCGCTAGCGGGCCCCGCGTCGCGGTGCTGCAGTCAGTCTGTTCCTGTGACCGCGCGCTGTGCGAATTTCCGATCCATCCACACGGTGCACTGCGCGCTTTTGTGGACTGTTTCGTCGTGGGGAAGCACGCTTACGGCCCCTGAGTTGTGTGACTTGTGAGACCTGTTTAAAAATTTAGAACAGAAAATAGACCGTCGGTGTCACTGAGACGTAACGGGAACAATGAGTTTGGAAAAGCGCAATTCGTATCTTGTCGAATGAGGCTTACTGAAGCTAAACTGCTTTGTATTAGTCCCATAAGAAACAAAGTGCATGTCAATAATACAGATTTTGTGCTACATTTTAATTTTTCTAAGTATTTTTTAAAAATATATTTGAAAGATCAGAAAACTGTTCCTATCCAGTTACTATTATTGTTGGTTAAGAAATATTTTGGCATGCCTATTTGCTGGAGAAGGGGAGCCCTGGTGGTGTAATGGTTACGCTTTGGGCTGCGATCCCCGAGGGTCGCAGTTCGCAACCGCCAGCCAGGGCTTTCTACTCCAGTAAACGCAGGAGGGCAGTTCCACCCTGTCGTGTAGGGTCGCTGTGAATCGACAGCGACGCGATGACAGTGAGTTTGGTTTTGGAGTTTATTTTCTGTGATTACAAATGTCAATGAAACCTGCCACCTCCCCTTGTGTACAGTCTGAGTAGAAATCGGACATAGCTGATTTTAATACATACTGCCGCTGTTCCAGGCAAGGAATACACTTTTCCCCACTTCCTACTGGTATACTAAAGTCAACTGTTGTCTTTTAGTTTTAGCTCTGCACCAAATTGTTAACCGAGTTACAGTATCTATCATTTAGGAACATTCTATCTTGTGAGGTAGAGTAAGTCTAAGCCATGGAGGATTCTTACAAATTATGTAAACTTTCTCTTATGGGGGATTCAGCCATGAGGGGTGGTTAATGACAACTTGTCCTTTGATCGTTGGCACTTTCTGTTGTGTCTCAGTATAATATTTATCCAGGTACATCAGAACTTTTCCTGAGAGAGAAGAGAGAGACAGACAGACACCCCCCTTTGAGAGGATGGAGGAGGGAAACGAATAGCTCCACTGACATAAAACTGAGTTGTTGCTTTTTGTTTTTTCCAAAACTGAGTTTTTATTACTGTGGTTAAAAAATCCTATCAGAGTTTTTTAAAAAGCCTGAGTATCAACTAGAAGTTACTTTTGCTTCTTTGGAAATAGGAATGGTAACTTACGCACTATCATTTAAAACTAATTATAGTTTTCCAAACTATACTTCAGTATTTGCGTATTTTTTTCCATGATTTGCTCTTCTTTTTTTCTTTCATATACTTTCACTGAAATGCCGAAGTGTACAATGAGAGATAAGAAAGAAAAAAATGATTGGAAGCTTTTGGATAGCTAGAAGCAAATGTTTAAGGTTTAGACGTTAAAGAATAGTTTATAAGGAATATGGGACTTCACGAAGTAAATGAAAAAATGTATCAAATATAGTGAATTTTTCTATAAACTATTTGAAATTCCAAAACACCTGACCTTTCTGCATTCCCCAAATCTCATACAAGCCTTTCACTGTTGAAAAGCTACATTTTCATAAGCAATAATTGCAAATTCTACATATATAACTTTATATATTAGGTACAAAGTCAAATGCGTTCTTTCTTAGCTATCTTAGTATAATTACAGCTGAGTGTAATCATTTTGTTGAGAGAACTTGGATCCAAGTCTTTGACTCTGGATCCTACATTTTCTTTACTGTGCTATTTTGTACTGAAATTAAAATTAGAGTTTCTTCATAGTTAGAGTTGGGACATTAATATGTAAGGAGCCCTGGTAGTGTAGTGCTTACTTGATTGGTTGCTAAGTGCAAGCCAGCAGTTTGAAACCATCAGCCACTTCATGGGAGAAAGATGAGGCTTTCTCCTCCATAAAGATCTACAGCCCCAGAGACCCACAGAGGCGGTGATAGTCTTGCCTGTGGGGTCACTATGAATCTGAATCCACTTGATGGCAGTGAGTTTGGTTATTTGGTTTTACTTAATTCTTAAAATTAATTTTGAATAACTATGGGTTATCAGTTCTCTTTTAAAATTAATTTTATATTAGGAAGTCTTTTATTTATTCCTAACTCTTAAAAATTATTTTTAAGAAGGCTAAAATTAGCCTTTCTAATGTTTCTGATTTAAGATACTATGTTATGATTAATGCTCTAGTTCTTTAATCTGTGTATGTATGATTACACCTTTATCACAAAATAATGGTTTAATGCTCTTGAATCTGATTGCTGATAAGATTTTGTGTACTCCATCTGTCATAAGAGAAGGTGACCTGGAAATGGAAAATTCTGATTATATTAGATGTTTTTAAGAAAAAGTCATTAAATATTTTTAAAATTTAAAAGTAAGCTTTGGTTCTGAAATTTGTGACATAAAGTACACAGAATAACTGTCACATGTTACTACTATTGCTAATACACAATAACATCTTACATTTTTATTACTTTAAAATTGTAGATTCAAGTATGGTTTTGTAATACTTAACAATTTTGATTTAATTCCCCCCAAATTATGCTCATTTGTTGCATTTTTTGGTTGCTAATATAATAGAAATGTCCTTAATTATTTTTAATATTTTGGATTCTTTTAGGATCTGAACCAATGATGCTCGGTTCACCTGCCTCTCCAAAGCCAGGGGTCAACGCCCAGTTTTTACCTGGATTTTTAATGGGGGATTTGCCAGCTCCAGTGACTCCGCAGTCTCGGTCAATCAGTGGTCCGTCAGTAGGAGTGATGGAAATGAGATCACCTTTACTGGCAGGTAGGTAAAGTGCTGAAAATAGTTTTATAGTAATGCTAATAGAAGTATACAAGATTAGAAAGGTGTAACATTCACCTTTATCAAAACATTAAAGCAAAGTCAGAACCTTGATTTTAAGTTACGACTTTGGTTATAGAGATGTGTGGATTAAAAGCCACTCTGATTCCAAGAACCACTTGTGAAAATTATGTGTACTGAATTTTACCTAATCTAAGATGCCATTGATTGCAAGGTTCACCATGATTTTATGTCCCGATGGCACTGTGGTTAGGCATTGGACTGCTAACGGTAAGGCCGCTGTTGTAAATCCACCAGCTGCTCCTTGGGAGAAAGATGAGGCTCTCTGCCCCTGTAAAGATTTATAGTTTCAGGGTCACCATGAGTTGGCATTGACATCCTACTATGCATTGAATGACTGTGTTTAGTGTTTAAGGAGTGAAAACACTAAATATGACAGTGCTAAGATGCCATTGTTTCTAAAGTATTTCCATTTCAGAGATGTTAGAAGTGTTTGGGAGGGATTGCCTTTTAGAAATGGTGAAATATGATCCTTTAACGCCAACTAACTTTAAATTTCAAATAAGAAAAGCAAATATCGTGTCAAAAGTGTGATTTTAGAATTTAGAGATAGAACTCTGCTTTCTAGCCTTAGTGTCACACACAATGTGTTTAGTGAAGTAACTTAGTCTGTCGAGTATGGAAAGCATACTGGTGTTTTCAGTGGTCAAGACAAAATATTGTTACCTAAGTGCAACATGTATCAATTACAGGACTTCGTTATCAAAGAAGTACTACGACTAGGACTAGTGAAAATAACCTACACCATAGTTGAATTCCAATTGTAAACTAGTATCATTTTCATAGTGGCAACCCTTCTTACTGTAATTGCTTTTGAGTATTATTTGGTTTAAAGTGCTTTGTTAGTATTTTTAAAGGATTAACCAGGAAGAAATTATCAAATATATTTGAGGTTTTTCACTTGAGAACCTTATTTCCTAGAGCAGCTGGTTTTATATTCCACTCATTATTTCATGATTATAGCTAATATTTATTGAACCTTTTATCAGACTGGCAGTATAGTAAGCATTTTACATGTTATTTTCACTTTCTTTTTCTAATTGTTTTAACAAAATCAAACCAATTGCCATTGACTTGATGCTAACTTTTGGTGACCCTGGCCGAGTGGTAGAGTGGGTTATATGTTGGGCTGCTAACTGCAAGGTCAGCAGTTCAAAACCACCATCTGCTCTGATGCCGCAGTTTCTTGAGCAGAGAGAATAAACATGGAACTAAACAGACACACACACACACAGACAATACAGGACTGCGGCACAAAATAGACACAGACAGAGACGGTACAAACTGCAGCCCTGACAGCCCACGGTGCTTTATTTTTAAGTACCAAATACTGGCAGTGTTCCCAGATCAGTTTGCTATTCCCACACTTGAATTTCTCATAGCCTTGAGCGTGAGTTCTGTATCACAGCCTGTACCGCTTTTGATTTACTTTCTACCAGGGAAACACTGTTTGCAGCTGCCCCCCCCCCATTCCTTCCCGTTTGCAGTAAGGAAGCAGTTTATGAGAACCAGCTAGGACAGACGTTTGTGCACTGTCCTAGACAGATACATGACACGAGACACAGTGCCCCTCTCATGACTCCTTCATATCCCCCTTTTACATTTTATTTTGATCTCTAATATGTTGAAACACTGCCATAACATCATGCTGTTTTTGCATAATCATTCGTCTTTGGTTTTGCCGTCAGAAGACTAAAAAGGCGAACAACAATATAATGATTAATAGAATAACACTACCAATGTTAAAGATAATAAAGCTTTTGCTTGTTCCAAAGGGTTAATAGAAGACAGTCTCTTAGAAATTCCCTTAAAAATTTCAGTACCAGTAAGTTTGGGTAATTGTCTACTGAAAGTTTCACCAATTTGATATTCCAATAATTGAATTTCTAAAGATACATTTTTATGTCCAATTAATAAATTTCTAAGTTTTTTCCAATCCTTACTAACGTTATACAGAACAGGAGTAATACAAAAATAAGAGGTGTTCCAATCACATTGAAGCATATCTGATCTCCCATCCACAACACTGTTTGTTGTAAGTTGGTGATGTCTTCAGCTATCTGAGCATCAATGTCATTTTGTTGTTGCCATAACAGTTTCATTGCCAGTTCCTTTCAAAGAACCATTATGTATGCACCATCTTAAAGGTATTTTAGAAAATTTATAATAAAGTCTCCATGAGGGCTCCAGTCTACTATTTTAAAGTCTGTATGATTTAACAATATCTTAAGCCGTTCTCCTCGACAAGGAGTCCATACCAAATGTTGCATTCCGGGTTGTATATTAGGGAGTGGGCAAATAGATAACAGGGTAGGAGTGACCTCGGAGATCTTACCGACCTTCCCTCTAAAGCCTCTTGCAGAAACAAACTTCACTCCCCACACCTCATGTGGATAAGACAAACAATGAGAACCATATCCTAGGCAAATAGGGAATCCCCTCACCCCTAAGCTATAATTATTAATATGCCTGCCTTCCTCTTCAGCAAAAGGGAAGGGGAGTTTTCCATAAGGCCCGGGCATCCAATCGTGCCATTAGTAAATACAGGTATTTCAGAATCACCCCAAGAAACGACTTGAAGCAAAGGGGATTTAGGAATGTAGGCCCAATAAATAAATGAAGAACTGTGAACCATCCCCACCTGACAGCTGATTACAGCTAGCATTGCCAAAAACATGGTGTTAGGATTGCAAAGCTGACGTGCTTGTTCCACCACCTTCTCTGCTTCTTGGGTTAGCTTCTTTAATTGTCCCCATGTAGGAAGATCAGCCTCTTCATTGCAACCAAGAAGGTGCGCTGACTGTTGATAGCTCTTGAAACGCTTGCAGGAACTCCTCCTGAGTGCGAGACCTCTTAGCCATCTCTCCGTTTCAGAGGTCGGGTTGGCAACCACTCGGCTTCGGAAATTGTGGAAATAGAGCAAACCCTTGACCCCATTGTAAAATCTCTCCTTCTATGATTCTATAAAATATTGGTCCAGGAGGGGAACACTTTCTTTTAGGCTTAGAAAAATGAGATAGGGCTGCAGAGTCCTCTAGCACTTGCCACTGATTTTAGCAGACAGAGCGCTTTCCACTGACTATAGCACTAGCTATAGCTCCTGCAAACAACTCAGCCTGATATGCAGCTCCGCTGATCCCTGCACAAGCTTGATATGGGAAAAGCGATTATTCCTGGATCGCGAGGCGCCTTGTCCTTATCATGAATGGTATCTAGTCCTGAGGGTAAAGAAAAATCTTCCTCCTCCTCCCCATGATTCAGCCTTGCGAAAGTGAAAGTAGCTCTGGGCAATGGAGCAGCTGCAGGACTGGTAGTCAAATGGCATTTAAGCATTTGTTTTAGCAATCCTATAAGTTCCTGAACATCATTTCCTTCTATCACATCATCTCATTCTTTCTTTGCTAATTCTGGACCTAATTCCTCCTCAGCTACTTCTGCATACATCTCTTCCTCCCTTTGAATTCCATTCTCTTTCTTTTTTTTTCACTTTTAAAACTGTGCGAATCTGTTTTTTTTTGTTTGTTTGTTTGTTTGTTTTTAACATTTTATTAGGGGCTCATACAACTGTTATCCCAATCCATACACACATCAATTGTGTA